GGGTATTTTTGCTGATGATGACATTGGTGGTACAATTTTTCCAAAAGGAGCCGTCAATTGGCTTGGTGTATCTTCCTCCCTTCTGCTTGTCATGATTGTCCAGCTAAAATTTGGGGGCCAACAGAGGTGAGGCAAAGAACCTCACCCCCCTGCTGGTACAAAGACCTCTCCACAGGTGTGGCTGTATACTGGACTGGTAGTCAGTGACGGGTAAGATCCAATTGCAATGGTACCAACCTAAGGACCATATGTACTATTGGACAACCTAAGGCAGGCACGGTCCCTAAGCCACATGCTTGTTGTTTAAACAGAGAGGGGGAGATGTTGAGAGCCACAGCCGAAGGGGCCCCAGCAAACTTCCAGCTGCCAGCAAACTTCCAGCTGCCGGCTGATGATTGGCTCACAGCGGCCCCAGCAACATCTAGCTGATTGGCTCCTCTGTGGTGATGCTCATTGGGCTGTTTCCCTGCCCTTTCAGACCATGGAGCTGCTCATTGGGGGACTTTTTTGGCTCCGCCCACGTGACCCAGCCAATCGGCCTCAAGAGCAGGAGGACTGTGGGAGGTGGAGAGAAGCTTGTGTGGGAGAGAGAGGCTTGTGGAAAGCCGGTGGTGGCAGTTGAGGCTCTGAGGGTTTTTCCTGAGAGGCTGTTTTGTTTGGCATGTGTGGTTCTAAAAATAAAGTTAGTTTCTTTTGACAAGTGGCTCCTGATTGTGCCCAGCCAGACTGCGGCAGAGCATACTACAGGGACACTGCTACATAGATGTTCATAGCAGCACAATTCACAATAGCAAGACTGTGGAACCAACCTAGATGCCCTTCAATAGACGAATGGATAAAAAAAATGTGGCATTTATACACAATGGAGTATTACTCTGCATTAAAAAATGACAAAAATCATAGAATTTGCAGGGAAATGGATGGCATTAGAGCAGATTATGCTAAGTGAAGCTAGCCAATCCCTAAAAAACAAATGCCAAATGTCTTCTTTGATATAAGGAGAGTAACTAAGAACACAGTAGGGATGAAGAGCATGAGAAGAAGATTAACATTAAACAGGGATGAGAGGTGGGAGGGAAAGGGAGAGAGAAGGGAAATTGCATGGAAATGGAAGGAGACCCTCAGGGGTATACAAAAGTACATACAAGAGGAAGTGAGGGGAAAGGGAAAAGTAATACAAGGGGGAGAAATGAATGACAGACAGTAGAGGGGGTAGAGAGAGAAGAGGGGAGGGGAGGGGAGGGGAGGGGAGGGGAGGGGGGATAGTAGAGGATAGGAAAGGCAGCAGAACACAACAGACACTAGTATGGCAATATGTAAATCATATTCCCCAATTTTGCTCAACATTTGGCATTACTCATATAACAGGATGTGTAACTGATGTGATTCTGCAATCTGTATATGGGGTAAAAATGGGAGTTCATAACCCACTTGAATCAAAGTGTGAAATATGATATATCAAGAAATTTGTAATGTTTTGAACAACCAACAATAAAAAATTAAAAAAAAAAAAAAGAACCCAAGTCAGTAAACAGGACCTATGCAGAAACTCCAGGATAATCTGGAATCTCAAGACCCTATCTTTAATCATATCCACAAAGTCCCTTTCGCCCTGCCGAGTAACATATTAACAGATTCCAGGCATTAGGACATGGGAATCTTTGATCACTGTACTTTTCCTCCTCAAAGAACTAAAATCAACACCAAAAGCAGAATCCACAACAGGAATCATTCATACAAAATGAAATGTTTTTCTATAAAAGACATTAGAAAGAGAATTAAAAGATAAGTTGTAGTCTAGGAGAAAATGTGGGAAAATGACATATCTAATAAATAACTTATACATAGAATATTTAAAGAATTCTCAAAATTTAATCATAAGAAAATAAATAAGCAAATTAAAATATATAGTTAAATTAAAAAAAATTGCACAAATATTTAACCAAAGAAGAAACATGGGTGACATATATTAAAAATGCTAGACATAAGTTAATCACTAAGTTAATGCAAGTTTGATTCAAAATAGCATGCCATTTTACACTATGAGAATGGCTATACCCACAACATAGCAGTAGTAATGATAATATTTATAATAAAATTATCTTATTGTATAATAATTATCATCTTTAAAATAGGCAATACCAACAGTTAGGGATGATGAGAAGCACCTCAATCTCTGATTTAATGCTGGTGGGAATAAAAAAATGTTACAAGAAATGTGGAAAACAGATTGGCAGTTTCTTATAAAGTTAAACATATACTTGCCATATGATCTCAACTCTGGCTTCTATATATTTATTTACTTTAGGGAAATGAAAAAAATTTTTACAAGAATCTACATGAAAATTTTTATAGCAAACATCTCTCAGTGAAAATGAAGATAAACTATGATATATTTGTACAATCAAATACTATTTAGAATGAAAAGGATTAATCTACTAACACATAAAAAGCGCAGATGAATCTCAAGTACATTAAGCTAAGTGAAAATCTCAGATGCTATTGTTATATTGTGTGTAACATTATTTAAATGACATTTTTAAAAGGCAAAACTCTTGGGGAGTAGATGGCATCAGTAATTGCCAAGGGTTTGGGAGGGAAAAGGAACTGACTATAAGGAGAAATAACAGGGATATTTTCAGAGTATATGCTATTCTATTTTCTGATTATTATGGTACTTACATAAATATAAAAAAATCACAGAATTGCTTACTAAACATAGGTTATTTTATTATATTCAAATTTAAGTAAATTTTCAAAATGAGAAAGAGCAGATTAGCATGCTAGAATTTATATACCCATTGCAATATCTCATCACATATTAGAAAAGACATTAAAAAGAAAAGGAATGACTCTACTGCCTGAGTACAAATCAATTAAATCACTATGGAAACATCTTATTTGACATTGTATGCTTTATACATACCAAACGATTCTTGTGTATATATCTGAAAGAAACACACATATTGGGTTCATAAAAATGAGTGAAGAAACTTTATAGCAGCATTATTAATGATAGCTCCTAATTGGTATCAGCCTAAATGTTCATCAGTAATACAGTGGTTAAAATAATTGTGGAGCTCTCACGTTCTAAAATGTTATGCAGTAACAATGAACAATCTACCTGCAGCAACTTGCAAATTTTCACAAACAATATTTAGTGAAAAAAATACATTTTGAAAACTGTATTTTCTAAAGATGACACTTGTAGTTCAGATCTTGAATGTCCTCCAAAGGCTCATGTATTGAAGGGTTGGCCTCCAATGAAGTTATGCTCAGAGGTGGGACTTCTGGGAAGCTATTGGAACATGAAGGCTCTGACCTCATCAATGGATTAATCCACTAATGGGTTCATCATTGAATGGACGATTGGGAGGTGGTGGAAACTGTGGGAGGTGAAGCCTTGTTGGAGGAAGTAGGTCATTGGGGATTGGAAGAAATAAGTTACTGCAAGTGTGCCCTGGAAGGGTATATTTAGTCCCCAGCTCTTTCCCACTTTCTCTCCCTCTTTGCTTCCTGGCTGCCTGAGCAGACTCCTCTATCACACACTGCCAGTGTTCTGCTTCACCTCAGACCCATAGCAATGGAGCCAGTTGATTAAAGTCTCTGAAACCATGAGTTGACTTCTCTTTCTCAGATATATTTCGAGTTCTCTTTCTCAGATACATTTTCACAATGACAGAAAGCTAACTCAATGACTATGATGATATCTTGCCTGCCTTCCACCAACTACCCAACTGTATTCAGGCAATTCTTCAGTATGCAAGTCACCATTTTATAATTTTTACTTTACTAACTGTTATTAGTTTTCTTTTGTCCCTTCAAGATAATATTTCTTTGTATAATAGCAGATGAAATCTCACCTTCCAAGCATCTTGATTTTCAGTCTTTGTAACTTGCTTCAATCTTATGAATTCCAAGACTATATGATAAATTTTCATTGTTTATAGCTACTACATTTGTAATAGAAAAATCTTAGAGGTGATAAACATAAATAAAGGATTGAGAATGCTTGCCTAGCATGCCTAAGGGCTCTGACCCTTAGTTTAATACCCAGAAGTGGGGGAAAAAAAGTCTCATCAACAATTATAGAAATGCAAAGACAAAAAAAGTAAAATAGTGCTGATTAAGTAGCACACAAAAAATTTAAAGAATTTATTATATTCATTATTGTAAAGGAGGGTATAATTTGGGCTCGCTCAAATGCTACTGGTATATGTATCAATTATTTAGATAATTTTAGTATAATACATAAAATTTAAAAATTCAGATACTAAATGACCAGAATTTTATCAAATAATCCTATTTCTAGAAAAGTATTTTAAGGAGCTCTGAAATTCAAACCAAAGATATCCAACATTATATTTTTGTAAGAATGAATAAACTGAAACATACCAAATATGCTTTTACAGGTTATAAAACTTATATTAAATGACAATTTTGCAAGCATTAACAAAACTAAGGTCTTAACATACACTTCCATCAAAATAACTCCAAAATGTATATTTGCAACAAGAAAAAGTATTCCAAGAATATAAACACAGCATATTACTTAGCATATAACTAAATATTACAGAACATAATACTTAAATACAATATAACCATATAAATATGTGCATGCAGACACATAGTAAAATAATTTAAATCATAAGCACAAAACTTAATTTTTAATTAATTGAAGTAGAATATATAAATATATATGTATATATGTGCATATATATATACACATATGTATATAAATACATATATATATATACACATATATACTTTATTCTTCAATACAAACTTACTCATGTTTATCTTATCCAATTCAAACATGATTCTTTATAAAGAAAATTAAATATAAATGTGTGGCAAACTGCTAGACATATGTAAAATTTAAGTTGTGACAAAACATACAGAAGTGGAAGAAAAACAAAAAGGAATAACAAATAGCATCTACATAATGAGCTTGTAACTCTGAAATGCACATATAATGGCTAGATGAAACCATTCAGCCTGTGCTTGTTTCAGTAGCACACATTAAATTGAGATAATACAGAGACGATTAGCATGGTCCCCATGCAAAGATGACACACAAATTAACAAAGCATTCCACATTTTTACCAGGAATTCTAGCCAGAGCAATTAGACAAAGGAAGGAAATAAAAAGGATAAAAATAGGAAAGGAAGAAGTCAAATTATCACTGTTTGAAGATGATATGATACTATATTTAGTAGATTCAAAAAGCTCCACCAGAAGGCTATTAGAGCTAATAAACTCAGCTAAGTAGCTGGATACAAAATGAAGATAGAAAAGTCATTAGCTTTCCTATACATTAATAATGAATCTGCTGAGAAAGAAATCAGGAAAATAGTCCCAGGAATAAATCTAACCAAGGAGGTAACAGACCTCTACAATGAGAACTTTAAAACAAAAGAAATTGAAGACACCAAGAGGGTGGGAAGACCTCTCACGTTCTTGGACAAGCAGAATTAATATTGTTAAAATGGCCATATAACTAAAAGCAACATACAGATTCAATGCAATTCCCATCAGAACATCAATGATATTCTTTATAAAACTAGAAAAAAAAAAAAAAAAAAAAACAGCCCTAACATTCATTTGTAAGAATAAAAGACCCAGAATAGCCAAAGCATTTCTAAGCCCAGAAAACAATTCAGTAGGCATCACAACACTGGATTTCAAACTATATGACAGAGCTATAGTAACAAAAACTGCATAGTACTGGCATAAAAACAGGCACATAGACCAAGGGAAGAGAACAGGATACACAATGAAAACCCACACTATACTGTCATCTGATCCTTGATAATGGTGCTGAAAACATACAGTGAAGAAAAAACAGCCTGCTTAACAAGTGGTCCTGGGAGAACTGATTATCCATATGTAGATGAATGAGATTAGATCCTTATCTCTCATCCTCTACAAAGGTCAACTCAAAATGGATCAAAGACCTTGGAATAAGGAAAATGCAACTCCTAGTAGACAAGGTAGAGTCAACACTCAAAAATATAGGTGAAGGCAAAGTTTGGGTTGGAATGTCAGATAAGTGCAGGTAGGACTAATACAACATATGGGAAGGAATTTATCTAGAAGAAATTAAGACTGAGATGTGCAACTTATGTTCTAGAAACATGGATTTATATCACCTTATCATCATTTAAAATAAACCCCTACATTCCTTCCCTTCCAGTTCCCATGAATTTACACCTCTGTCTTAGGAGAAAAGCTCACAACAACTGTTGTAGAAAACAAAATTACTCCTTAATCTTAAAAACAAAAAAACAAGACAGAATGGCTGAGTATGACTTTGGCATGACAGCTGTGCACAGAGTTGTGTAGCCATTGTTACAAAAGAATACCCTGTATTTTATTGCAGGGGCAGAGGAGCCTAGCCCCCTCTGAATGCAGGGAACTCTATAAACTACAAGGAGCAGAAGGTAGGTACATGCTGTGCCGTCACTCATCCTCTGGCATAGAGCATGAGAAAAGTGCCAGCTGTGAATTGCATAATCAGCACAACCACAATCATGGATACATGTGATGGGGCCCAGATTCCGGCTAGGAAAAAAAAAAAGAAGGAATGTTATTTTAAATGATTGAGTGGCAAATAGAACAGGAGGAAAGAGATAGCTTAGCAACACAACATGGGATTAAAATTCGATTTTAACTTTATATTTAAATAATAGGCAATCATCTGTCTCCTTAAACATTCACCACATCTCTTAAATGCATAAGAGGTGATGTGGTGGATGCTATAATACACTACCTAGTTACCACATCCAGAATGTATTCTCTGACTACCCAGAGTGATGCAGAATGCACCTCCCAGATGACATTCCTTTCAGGGAATTGCTTCAGCTAAAGAAAACTACCCTGAATAAGGTCATGAGCAGCCTATATTTAGGAGTATTTATTGCAAGTGAAGAAAGAAAGAGGGAGGGAAGGAAGGAAAGAAAAGAAAAGAAAATAGAAATTAATAAATTAATAAGAAAGCTATCTTCAGCAGAACTACTCTTCAAAAATGAAGGGTAAGCTAAGGCATTGCTAGATAAACAAAACTGACAGAATTTATTGCTAGTCTTAAAAAAATGCTAAATGTGATCTTTACAGAGACTTTCAGGAATCCATTAGATAGCATTAGAATTTTTCAATAAAATAGATCAATTCCTAAAAGATACAATCTACAAAATTGATGCAAGAAGAAATGCAAAATCAAATTCACACAAATAAATTAAAACAAAGAAAATACTTCATATAATGAAAAGCCTAGTTCTGAAGGACACCCCTGAAGAATTCTACTAACCATTTAAAGAAGAATCAACAACTACTCTTCAAAAGCTCTTACAAAAACTAAAAGAGGAAAGAATACTTTCCGACTCATATTTTGAAGCTATTATTACCATAATCATTTCTTTTCTAGGGTTTTATTTTTCATGGTTTTAGTCATCGACTGTCAACCATGTCCTGAAAATATTAAATGGAAAATTTCAGAAACAAAAAATTTATATATTCTAAATAACTTTCTATTATAGTACATTGTTTTAATTTTTTATCATAACATTAGTTATCATTGTTCATTACTGTGTCTAATGTATAAATTAAACGTTACCATGGGTATGTATGTATAGGAAAAGACAGCATAAATAAAGTTCTATGCAACAGATTTCAGGCATCCACTGTGTTTTAGAATGTAATCCCTGCAGATAAAGGGGGGATATTCAGCTCTGATATCAATACCAGACAATGATATAGTAAGAAAAAAAATATTGTTTTCCTTACAGATCAAAAATCTTCTACAAAACACTACAACAACACCAGCAACATATAAAAGGAATATAAAAGGAATTACACACTGTGAACAAGGATAATTTGTTTTAGGAAAGTAACATTGGTTCAATATGCTAAAGTTGATCAATAAAAGGGGCTGGGTGTGGCACATACCTGGAATCCCAGGTACTTGGGAAGGTGAGACCAGGGGACTGCTTAAGCCCAGGAATTCAAGCCTAGCCTGAACAACATATGAAGGCCCTGTCTCAAAAAGAAATAATAATTAATCAACTTAATAAATGATAATAGAACCAAGGAGAATAAAATGATTATTGTCGTGGAAGCAGAATTGCCATTTGACAAAATGCAATACCATCTCACGGTTTGAAAGAACAAAATCAAAACCAAACTAGGAATAGAGAAGAAAATTCTCAACCTTAAAAAGAGCATCTACAAAAAACAAACAAGCAAAACTCTCAGGCAACAGAATATTTAGTAGTAAAAGGTTAAATATTGCCCAAGATCAGAAACAACCCATGGATGTCTACTCTCATATAATATATCATTAAATATATCTCAAATGGTCTTGGCACCCTTGTTAAAAATCAACTGGTTGGTGGTACATGACTGTAATCCCAGTGGCTCCTCATATCATATACAAAATTATCTCAAAATGAATCAAAAATCAACATGTCAAAAACAAACTATAGAATATTTAAAAGACAGCATATGGGTAAATACTATTTAACTTGAGTTAGGCAGAGGTTTCTTACACCACAAGTAAGAAAAAAACAGACAAATTGAGAAATTTTATGCATAAAAATGCATTATAAAGAAATTGAAAAAAATGATCCACAGAAAAAGAAAATTCTTGCAAATTTTATATCTAACAAAAGTATAGAGTCTTAAATATAGAAAGAACTCTAAAAATTCAACAGCAATGACAAAAAATACAACCCAGGCAAGCATGATGGTGCATGCCTGTCATTTCATCTACTCAGGAGACGCAAGAGACCCACAAATGTGAGGCCAGGCTGGGCAAAACTTTCAAAAAAAAAAAAAGAAAAGAAAAGGGGATATAACTGAACATGACTAGGTAGGAAACACTTGCCTAACGTATAACATGCACAAGTCTCTATCATAAAGAAAATAAAACTTAACAAATTGATAATTTCAATAAATATTTTTCCTAAAGAGATATACTGATGGCCAAAAAACATGAAAAGAATTATTATTATTAGGCCAACAAACATGAAAAGAATTATTATTTAATGAATTATTATTCATTAAAGAAGTGGAATTCAAAATCACAATGCAACAATTTCAAATGCATTAAGGTGGTTATCACTTTTTTATAAAAGGAGGACTAAATATTGGGGAAGATGTGGAAATATTGAACTTCTCACAATTGACAGCAGAAATCTAAAATGTGTGGTATTGTGAAAGATAAGGTGCGAGTTTCTCAGAAGGTTAAGCATAGATTTACTATATGAGGAAAAAAATGCCTGCCCTAAATATATATTCAAGAGAACTGAAAATATATATTTATCCCAAAATTCATATATGAATATTAGTAAGTAATATGAGTCATAATAGACACAGCTCAAATATCTACCAAATAAAGAATGAGGAAGCAAGTGAGGAATATCTATACAATACAATTTTTTACTCACAAGAGGAAATTATGTACTGATTTGTGCTACAACATAATCTTGAAAACATACTGAAAGAATCTAGTTTCAGCTGGGCATGGTGGCACATGCCTGTAATCCTAGCAGCTCTGGAAGCTGAGGTAGAAGGATTGTGAGTTTAAAGCCAGCCTCAGCAACTTAGCAAGGCCTTAAGCAACTCAGTGAGACCCTGTCTCTAAATAAAATACAAAAAAGAGCTAAGGATATGGCTCAATGGTTAAGTGCTCCTGAGTTTAATTTCTGGTCCCCCCCATTCCCCTAAAAGAGAATCTAGTTTCAAAAGATCACTTATATTATTCCATTTGTATGGTATGTCCAGAGTACACAAATCAATACAGACAAGAAGTCCATTAGTAGTTGCCAGGGGATGGGAGTGACAACTGATGGGTACTTTCCACACGGTGAAAATTTTCTATAGTTCTATAGTTGGGATATGTACATAACTTTGTTTATATACTAAAAACCATTGAATTATGTTCTTAAAATGGTGAATTGAATGATACGAACTGTATTTCCACTGAAAAAAGAAAATGAACTAATGTTGATGAATTAAAGAAATAATATGGAATGTGGACTTCTGTGACATGTGGATTTCCTTTGAACTATGGTACTAAATTTGTAAGAATTTTAGCATTTCTC